TACTTCGATTTGTCCAAGTCGTCCATCTTCCTTGATGCAAGCTCTTGCCCAACTGCGACAAGGTAACCCGGTTTCACCCAAAATGCAAGCGGAAGCGTTAATGCGAGCCGCGGAACTCGATGGTGCGATTCTGCGGCTTTTGTTGGACCCTGGCGCGGTTGGTGCAGTAGCTGACTTTGACGATGTTTCTATTACCCCCGCAAAACTCGTAGCTTATGCGGTGGATGTTTCTGTTACCCCTCAATTACTTAACAAATAGCGTTGGCAGAGTCTCGTGATATGCAAATAATCTTGGAGATAAGCAAGGTGCCCGCAATGACGTTTGTTCTGTGGTTGTTTGGTGCCTGCAGGATGGAAAATTCGAACGCTAGCGGAGGTTGCGGCCAATCAGGTAGGGACTACTGGGAACATGTCCTCGACCGTCGCGGACACACTCAAGCAGCACTCTGGGCCTGATTGAAGAAGCCATTGGACGTGCCTTGACGTAACTCAAGAGTATTAGCACTCTTCGATTCAACGCCCAACAAGTGGCTGAAGGAGCTTGTGCTGAGTGACTCTACTGAGGTTGCTCCTCTGAAGCTTATGATCGCTGAGCAGGACGTAGCATCCGATAACAGTCCTGTAGGAAAGTACGCTCGAACCACAGTACATGCAAGACATAGAGGCCACCTACTGAGCCCATACTGACCAACTCTCCAAGTAAACCAAATCTTGCTAGATAGCTGATACCTGGTCTTGTCCGCATCAATGTGGGAATGATGATAGCCGGTGCTATAGCAGTGAGCGAAGGCAGCGTTTCAAACACACTGAATGCTGAATCCCTTGATCTGAAAAATCTCTTGATGAACCATGTGTTCCAGACGATGCGCAGTCCCATGTTGACTGAGTTCGCGAGGACCACCCCCTTCCCACCTAACTCCAAGTAGCCAATGAATAACCATGCACTGCCCGCAAAGAGCGCAAAGAAGATACCCATCGACACAGACTGCGCATACAGTTCCTTATTCGTAGCTACGGCAGCAACGAAGGCTTCCGTCACCCCGTTGATGGCAAGGAAGGGTATGTAGAAACAATATGTGGACAGAACTTGGGCAGCCGAAGTAGCGGACCATTTATGGCCTGCGACGATAGTGAGCAAGAGCGGAGCCAATACAGGGCCTAATGTGGTCGCAAACAAGGAGATGATCATATAGAGGTGTAGAATCGTGGACATGACGTTCGAGGCTTGATTAAGGTTCCGCCTCTGCTCCCTGGCCACCCGTTCCCTCTCCGGTCCCTCAGCAGTCGATGGTGGCTCCACGTTTGTGCATAGCTTGGCAAACATGTTGCGGCTACTCTCCTCGATGGGCTGGAAGAGCATTCGTGCAATGAGGCCTCCGTAATTAGATGCAAGAGCATAGGCCCCTTGGTCAGCAAGCGATGCCAGTCCCGTAATCAGTAGGGAGTCTCCTTGGGTCAAAATGTATTTTAAAGCTGACTGGAGAGTGAGAGATCCAGTGAGTCGTAAAAGGGGAGTCGAAAAGTAGCTCAATAGGAACGGATGCTCTTCTGTCGAGGCTATCCTCTCTGGGACAAGGGAGAAGTCATCCCTCTTCGCAACAAGCCATGTCTGGTAGGAGTACGCCACGAAGAGCGCCAAAGCGTAAGTCAATTGGCCGATCGCAAAAGGTAGAACTCCAATATCGACATCAAAACGACTGGCTAAAATAGCAGATGCGCATGTCCCAAAGCAACGAAGTAGCGTAGCACTACTCTCAGCGGACGCGCGTATTTTGTACAGCAACTTCTGCTGCACAACCGAGAATGCAGGTTCGCTAAGGAGTTCGATAAAGGTAGCGAGGCAATAGACAATTAATGCTTCCACAAAGTAGGGAACATTCGGCGTCTCTGAGCGGAGCCATAGCAGAGCGAGTAGGTAAGCCAAGGGTGTTCCAAAGAAAACAGCGAGATACGAAAGATTGACAACCGCCCGAGTTGAATGCGCCTGACGCTGCAACGCGACTCGTAAGCTTTCACGTGCGAAGTAAAGCACGGAAATAGAAAACAACTCGAGCTGCGCTGACACACCAAGAAGCTCTGGAGACAAGAATCTCAACAAGATTTGGTTGACCGCGAATGTGAGCGCTCGCGAGGCTACCTGCAGCAAAATGAGAAAGGTGGCTCCTTTGGCTGAGGCAGAAAGGATTGAATTTGACATGGTTTGTGCTTCAGCCGAAGCAGGAATGAAGGGAATTGTCGATAAGAAAGTTCAGGAACCGCTCAAGGAATCATGATGATTGGATGTGATGTTGTTGATGCGGTGAGGGAGAGCGCTGTGGTTTGGTGTTGACCGCCGCCTCGTCCCGGAGCAGCTAGCTCCTTACCGCATCAACGGCTACCCGACGTGCCTCTAGGGCTGAACACGAGCGTTCCTCGCCTTAACTCTATCAGCGCACACGCACGATGGCCTTTCACTCGAATTTTGTTGTGGGAGGTGAAGAAAATGGTGATTGTCGATTCAAGTATTGTAGTCCGGACTGAAAGGCTTCTCCTGAGGCCGTTAAGCATCGAAGATGCCGCAGACGTTCTATTAATGCGCAAGCATCCAGAAGTCATGAAGCACACGTAGGCACCTCCTAGAGCTAATTACTCCGTGTTTGCTATAAAACTTGATTTGACACCAGACCAGGTCCCTCAGAGTCTCCGACGACATCGAAACAACAAAAGCTTGGATCCAAGGCTGTTTCAACAGTCCCATCAACTGGAATTTCTCCCTCGAGCTCCTTGACGTACCCACCGCCTGCTCCCCACGCGTCATCGGCCTCATAGGCGCAGTCCGAGCCCCCGAAATAGGCTACATGTTCAATACCTCACACTGGGGTAAAGGCTATGCGACCGAGGCCCTGCGCGCCTTCATGCCGCTGTTCTTCGAGCATTACAACGGCGCCGTGAACGAGAGATTCGAGTATGCGGAAGCACATACGGATGAGGAATCTGTTAGTAGCCAGAACGTGCTAGGGAAAGTAGGGTTCAAATGGTATGAGACGAGGGAGAAGGACTTCGAGAATCCCATTTTCGGGTGGAGGGATACGCTGATTTACAGATTGTATCGTCCAGGCTCGCAGAGCGAGGGGAAACCCATAGGGTCTTGACCTGGCTTGAGCATCAAGTTCATCGATGCTCGACGAAGACATGAAACCGTACCCAAAAGCGTATTGCAAAATCGGATGAGGAATACCTTGGTTATAGAAGAGCATACCTTTGCGACTCATACGTTCTATTCTAGCTAGATTGAAGAAGGCTCGAATTATCGCATGCTTCTGCTACTTATCGAGTCACTAGGGATTGCAACTAGGTGCTTGATAAGAGTGTAGGAAATGGATCTCATTCTACAAGGTTATCCCCATTGTGAGGTCTGATCTGTCTGAAACCTCGCGATTGAGGCTCCATCCATCGTACCCAATGCTTTTCCACTTTTTTGTCCTTTCCAACTAGTTGTCCCTGGCGTCCTCCTCACGGCCGTCTACTAATCGTGTGGTAATATCACGGAGTGTAGAGTGCTAGTCTCTATTCATTCCTAGGAGGTTGTATTCTCCTCCAAAAACACCTTCGTCCTCTGCCTATTTTTCGACGAAGTTGGACTTGTTAAATGCTCCAGAGTAAGAGATGAAAATCAATTAGGATAGAGTACCAACCTCAGGATGTCCACACTTCCACGCGGCGTATCTTTGCAGATTCGAAGGTTTGGGAGGCAACGCTTAGGATGAATGTAGCAAGAAGGCTCAAGAGGTGGAAGGTACGAGACGTCGCCTCGCTCTCGTATGCGGGTGATTGTACATCAACGCCCTGACACTCTCTCATTGTATTTCCCTCGCAAAGTCAAGTGTTGGTCCTGGAGCCTTCAACGCGATATCCTAGAAGTCAACACGCCGGTGTGCGGCTTGCATCATGTTCCTTCCATAGTCGTGTCAGCATGTGCTTGGGATGTGCCTTGACTTGCTGGGGTTGAAACCTCACCGCCCTTCTTTGACACGAGGCGGGATCCACCAGACGTGTTGGAAACAGCCAGAAAAGATGTCTCCCCTCTTTTCGCCTTTGCCTGGTTCAGCTTCGTCAGGAAGCTCATTCGAGCTGGTTGTACTTGCTCCGCCACGACTTGTTCTTCCGATCCTGGAGCCGACATCGGTGGTCCCCCGACATTTTGAGCATCACTTGGAAGACGTGCAGGCTCGGTCGCAGGCTGCATTTCGCTGCTATTGTCAAACAGGTCGTCTCGCGGCCGAAGTCGTCCTACTCTTGCGACCAGCTTCGCGGAACCTATAGCGAGCAGATCCACCGACGGGAGCGATCGTAAGGGCTCGGATAGATGGCTTGTGCTTGTGTCTGGCTTCACGAAGAACATGTCGCTTCCGATTGTCGAGGTCCATTGGCAGCTGAGCAACTCGCCATTGTGCATGACCAGCGGATTCGTAGTATGCAGGCCAACTATTTGCAGTTCGCCCATGGTAGCGGTCTCCTGCCCATCAGAGGTATCCATTGAAATATCTGTTGGCTGTCCCCGTTGCGCGTTCAGCGCTCGAAGTCGACTTTTCAGTAATATTGGGTGTCCTGGTCGGCCTTGTGAAACCATCGGCACCTGAGCGTTAGGGACGTTGGACAGATCGAGGGTTATATAGAAGTCTTCGGTTTCGGTCTCGTCATACTCGTACTCCCACTGGTCGTCGTCTGCGTGATCCATGATGCATGAAGGTCAGAGGAAAAGTGTAGACAGCCGCGTTGACAAATGGGTCGTGAGTTAGGTATCAAAATGGGGTATGGGGAACGCCAAGCTCAAGGCGCCGTCCGAAAAGTAATTGAGGTTGGTGTGCCTCAGTTCCAGCCAATGTTGTGCACGCCCCGCTCTGACGTAACGCGTCGTATGATTAGTTAGCGCACATAAAAGTTCTTTTAAATAAAATATATGTCTTTAATAACTTTCAAGAATGCCATCAAAACAACAAGCGCGACCATTCGTCGCATTACTCCGCTTGGTGTAGTTGGTTGTATGTTCCACCAGTCTTTGACCGCATATTTCCCCTCCTAACATAATATCAGTATCACGTTCGGCTGTAATATCTATTGTTACCGAAAGGTCCCTAGTTCGATTCTGGGAGCGGAGACAACTTTTTTTGCTCTTCTCTTGGAAGGTGCTTGATAAGTCTACGTAATACTGATTGGATTGTAGCATCTGAAATCTTGCTTTTTGGCATCTGCCGAGCATTAATTCGTTGCAAGGCTTTTACGTGCATTGGAACAGTCTTCGTCCTATGCTGACTGGCATCACCGCGACCTCCATAGTCGTTCTAGTCGCAAGAGGCGGCAGCAGACTAGGTATGTGCCCTTTCAGCCTGATTGCTCCACAATAATCGTCTCTCCTCACGTGCGTATCGATAGAGATGCGGCGCTCATGCACGGCGCGGCCAAGTTTTCTGGGGAGCCGCATCGCCTCCGAGGTTCCAGGAGCTTTCCTGGCTTAGCGGCGGACGACGTGTGCCCAGCCTGTAACCCCCGAGCTCTATCCCCGCTGACGCGCTCATTGAAGCCAGACTCCTCTTGCATGCTTCGCATTGCTCTATCGCCTTGGCTGAGCTTTTGTCCTGAGCACCCTTCTTCTTCCAAGCCTGCTGTGGCGCCAGCTGGGTCGCCAGGTGCCAATTAGTAAGTCATAGTTCCGCGCACGTCCGAACCAGATCATGGCATCAGAAGCCGTCATGCGTCTCTCCGTCGCTTCCGCGCTCTTCCTTGGGCTCACGGAAGCAAGCGCGATAGACACTAGCATTGTGCTATCTCTCACGAATTTTGTCAGCATCGGCAGCGTCGGCTTCAGAACACTTGCAGCAACATGTCACTGGACAATGCCATTTCCCGTTTGAGTATTGGGCTCATGCTAATCCATCAGTGCCTATCGTTCCCTACCTCCACCATGGCGGGCAGGTCCCGCTCCGTGGGTTCCTGCCATCGTCACTCCTGACGCACTCCATCGCCCCAGTCGACATTCCTGAACATCCTCGAATAGCCATATACCCTTCTCAGACGCCTTCTGGGACACTAGGTGCTGCGCCGGACGCCTCTCAAAAGCACATTGTACCTACCATCGATATCACCACAGACTATTCCTCGCATGAACAATCGTCCGGGCAAGCTCCCACGTCCCTCCCTGGTGCTGGTGCTGGTCCTGGTCCTGGTCCTGGTGCTGGTGCTGGTGCTGGTGCACTGTCGAATGTATCAGATACCGAGATGAGGGGCAAGAAACCCGCTGTTGCCGCTGCGGGTACAATCCTGGGGCTCTTCTCATTCTCCCAAATATACCAGAACCTCCTCTTCGACAGAATCACACCGTTCGATGAACGAGCAGACGAAGAAGCATGGGTCGCTTCATCCCAGTCATGGTTAGACCGAAAGGCTTGCAACTGGTTTGGACTCTGCGGTCTGGCGCACCTGGATCGTGCGGGCTGGACAACCAAAATAGAAGCGCAAGGGCACAAAGCTAGCAACATGGGAGATGGTGTCAAGCTCAATTTGACAGACTTCTGGAATGATGCTAGGAATCTACCGGATGATTGGGAATCGCAGCAGGAGCGAGAGATACCGAGCTACGTTATTGAACATGCTCCACTCATTCATCTGTACTCTGGAGAGAATTATTGGCCAGGAGACATTGCCGAGCATCTGATACATACAACACCGCACCTCAACTACACTCCGCTACAAGCCACCAACGATCATCCGAATCTTACGAATCTTGGAGAGCTTAACAGGTGGGGAAGATTCGTATACCTACAAAGCGATGATAATGTGGAAGACCGTCCACAGTGGCTGGGAGGAGAGGCGAACATACCCAATGTGCCGAAAGACGGCAATGATGACGACGACGGTTGGGATGAGTACGATCGCAAGCATGGTCATTTTGAGGAAGACAAAGACGCCAAGAAGTCAGACTGGTGGCATGTGGGTCCTGGAGACACCAAGGACAAAGGCGGCATTAGACCTGTATCAACATCTCCCGGACTACCCATCCCGACCAGGACGCCTGAAGGCGACGAGCTCGTGGATGACGATGATCAGTACTGGCAACCTGAGCTACGCAATCGTCGGAGCTTGACAGGTAAGAAGGTTGTAGGAGGCAGAAGCGATGCGCCTGCAGTGCTCATCGTTGTGCCAAAGGGCGACGGTATTGTGGACGCCTTCTGGTTCTTCTTTTACAGTTATAACCTGGGAAATGCTGTATTCAACGTACGATTTGGTAACCATGTGGGCGACTGGGAGCACACGGTCGTTCGTTTCAAGGATGGCGAGCCGAAAGCAGTGTTCTTTAGTGAGCATAGTTTTGGTGAGGCGTACACGTGGGAAGCCATTGAGAAGAGCGGCAAGAGGGTAAACCTAGTGTATTCCAATGACGAGCTTGTAAGACTAACTATGTTCAGCCCATTGGCTTCTCTGCCACCGGAACCCACGCAATGTACGCAACCCCTGGCGTTCACCCATACGTCCTCCCTGGAGGCATCCTACACGACGTGACCGACCGCGGTCCCCTTTGGGATCCCGTACAAAATATGTACTCATTCACCTACCGCTACCAAACCGATACACTTCTCTCCTCCAATCTCCACCCCACGGCACCCGTTAGCTGGTTCTACTTTGCCGGTCATTGGGGTGACAAATTTTACCCCCTTAGCGATCCTCGGCAATATCGCTTCTTAGGGCAATATCACTACGTCAATGGGCCGCTGGGTCCAAGGTTCAAGAATCTGGGTAGACAAGAGATTTGCCAAGGGAATGGAGAGTGTGTACTCAAGCGATGGATTGGAGACAAGTCGAAGTGGGTAAAGAGATGGCAAGGGGTTGGCGAAGGAGAGGAGATGAGCGAGGAGGATGCTAGGAAGGTATGGGGAGCAGAGTATGATTCTGCATCTTGATCAGAAGCGAAACGAACAAGGGAGGTCTAGACAAGCGCATGAGTACATGAATTGTGAGGATTTTAAACACACTCATTATGATACAGCACGGTGCATGGCGTTTAGATTTGAGATTTGAACACGACGGCGTGGCGCATTGTTGTGTCCTGTAATATACGGCGATATGTCTTTTCGAGATACCTATGTAGCATCTGAATTATCTTCATTCGCTTGCTTCAGAAACAGTCTTTGGATGTGAACCACGAATGATCAAGTTTCAAGGCGCATCATCGACTGAGTGGTCACTAGCACGACTAGGTGGTAGTTTTGGTTTGCAGCAATACAGTGCTACCGCAGGCGGCAGGTCAGCCGGGCGGAAACTGGCTTGCAGCATCGGCAGGGTGCAGTACCTATCGACAGGGCACAGGCGACTGACGTCGACGCCACGTCTCCTCTAAATCATGCCGTTCGCATCCTGTCTCTAATTTGTGGACGAATGATGCACAGAAAGACAGATTAGAGTCAATGTGTTGCCCGAAGAGGAAATCAGTAAGCAGAGGAGTGATTACTGGGGCGAGTCGTCGGCCCGCAGACAGTGATGAGAAAGCAGCACAGGGCTGCTGCGCCTTGGAGGTCATGGTGTGACCAGGCTCCAAACCAGGGCCACGGTACAGTACGCGCTGCAGAGCTGCAGGGCTGAAGACGTGCGTGATGGCTGTCAGCATGCGCGTATGTACAAGTTGGATGGGAGAACAAGCAGCGGGCTCCTTTCGTTTGAGTCGTCGAATCAAGTCTGAGTATTTTTAGACAGCGTCGTTGAATGATAGGTAACCCTAGTTCGCCTGGCTCTACCACCGTAGGTAGTAGGAGGAGTCAGAGCAGCAGGATCTGTCGTGTAATGATTGCCTGCTCATCTCATCATCACTGATGAATAAATCACGTCGGGCGCTAGGAGCAGTAGTAGGTGGTAGGTACTGAGGCAGGTAGTGCATACCGGTGTGCCCCTAGCTGGCGCGGGATGGCACTGGATGGCCCCCTATCTTATCAGTATCAGTACAGGACACGCCCAGTGCTCAACCGCAGCTGTACAACACACGGCCACCGACTCTGGTCCTCAACGCGTCTTACATGTTTCAAATACAAACTTGAACTCAGCTATTCCCCTTTTTGTTCTCGTTGCCAGCCTCCTTGTTGCATCGTCCTGCTCGACCTTTGTTTCCCGCGACTCGCGCCTGATCATCTGCCCGCCGAAACGGCCCGCTGGATTCGTTTTAGCGCGTCCTAGCGACATCTGTACATCATACACCTCCCCTCACACCGCTGGCGACATTCCGACGTCGCAACGAGGCATGAGGCCCTCCAGACGATAAGACAGACTTGCACGACACTTCGGCTCCTTCACCCCGTTCTGTACAGTTCGACCAACCACTGTCCGCTTTGAACCGCATTCCACATCCCGCATCTGTCCGAACGTCCTCGTGCCTTGCTTTCTCGAGGACGTGTCTGCTCAGTCGCCACCTGTGCACACCCCAACCCCGTTCATGATACTACACAATGGCTTTCAGACAGCAGCATCGTCCGCAGACTTCACGGCAGATATCCTATCATGCACCGGAGCCCGCTGCCGAAGTTGCTGCCAGCTCACAGCAACTCAAGCGACCTCTGGAGCAATCTGAGGAGTGGGTACTCTTCTCCCCAGTAGCGCCCTCGACCACCGCACGCACACACACGACTTCGACGGAGCGGACACCGCGGACAGCTGGCCTGTCACGCTTCAGTGAGTTCGGCTCGCTCGACACAGCTGCCCGGTCGGATCAAGATGAGGGTGCTGGCACCTTCTTGGGCACAGAGGATGGGGAAGAATTAGACAGCTTGGACGATGGGTTGCATGCCTTCCATGAACCCTCTGAGTATGCTGCGCCAGTGAGCCGGTTACAGCAGACGGGGGATACAGTCCTACCCACTCATGACGGGCTGGGCACGTTCCAGCCCGATGCGGCTATGCAAGAACATATGTGGCAGTTCGAGCGACCGCGAAGACGAGCTGCGAGACGACGGTCTAGTGTACAGCGACACTTGACCATACTAGATGACGCCGAGGATGTCAACCAGGAGCAAGAGAGGCGACAGCGCATTGAAAAGTGGCGGTTGGAGCAGAGCAAAGCCCTATTAGAAGAGATCGAGAAGGAGACAAGACGGCGGAGGCGGATGAGCATGGTCAGCGT